AATAAATAGGAGATGCTTAGTCAAGAGCACCAGTTAGTCATCAGAATACTTTCCTGCCTATGACAGATCCGTGTGGTTTAAAATGGTCTTCTTCTTTATGCATGTGGTTTTCTGGGCTCTGTGTGTGTGTGTGTGAGTGTGTGAGTGTGTGTGTGTGAGAGTGTGTGTGTGTGAGTGTGTGTGTGTAAGTGTGTGTGTATGTGCGTGTGAGTGTGTATGTGTGAGTGTGTGAATGTATGAGTGTATGTGTGTGTGAATGTGTGTGTGTGTGTGTCTGAGAGTATGTATGTGTGAGAGTGTGTGTGAGTGTGTGTGTGTATGTGTATGTGTGAGTGTGTGTGTGTGAGTGTGTGAGCAGTTGGGAGGGAACAGGCCTGCAAGGGAGGGCAGTTGGGGGTGACCATGTCTGCAGTGGAGGGCAGTTAGGGGTGACCAGGCCAGCAGAGGAGGGAAGTTGGGGGCTACCAGACCTGTAGAGAAGGGCAGTTGGGGGGGACCAGGCCTGCAGGTGAGATCAGTTGGGGGTGCCCAGGCCTGCAGGGGAGGGCAGTTAGGAGCAAACAGGCCTGCAAGGGAGCAGTTAGGCATCAATCAGGTTGGCAGGGGAGTGGTTAGGGTTGATCAGGCTTGCAGGCAGAGGCGGTTAGGGGCAATCAGGAAGGTAGGCAGGCAAGCAGTTGGGAGCCAGCAGTCCTGGATTGTGAGAGGGATGTCCGACTGCCCAATAAGCCTGATTCTATTTGTCTTCTTTGATTTCTTTCAGCAATGTTTTTGTAGTTTTCAGTGTACAAACCTTTTACTTCCTTGGCTAAGCTTACTTCTAAGTCTTTCACTCTTTTTGATACTAATGTAAATAGAATTATTTTCTTTGTTTTAATTTCATTTCCCTATAGCAACCATCATTATTCTCTATGTCTATGGATTTGTTTCTATTTTGTTTTGTTTATTCATTTGTTTTGTTTTTTATTAGATTCTACATAAAAATAAAATCAATTAGATATTCATCTAATACCCATTTTCACTCACTGGTACACATCTGTATTTTTAAATTGATTTATTTATTGAAAAAAACAGATCTTGTATCTTATGGAATTACTCAATGTGTCTCTTTCAAATTGGTGTTTTTCTCTCAAATTGGTATTTCTCTCTCTCTCTCTCTGTGTGTGTGTGTGTGTGTGTGTGTGTCTCCCCCTCTCTTCCATTCTCTCTCTAAAAAAAAAAAAATCAATGGAAAAGTATCCTCAGACAAGGATTAATAATGAAAATAGCTCTCCCTTATAACTATTTGGTTAGCCTAAACTATAGTCCACAAAATAAAGAATGTATACTCAGGTCTTTCCTTTACTTATCAATATTCCAAACAATGAGTTCAATGAGGCCATAGAAAGCTCTATAAATGTTTGATATTTTAAAGATCAATGTTAACTTATAATTTTTATGTTTCTGATATGCTTCAATTAATTCAATTGCTGTTTTTTCTTAAGTTCAATTGTCCCATACGTGGACAGAGTTCCCTTCAAGTTGGCACCTGTTTCATTCTGATATGACCCTCACTCATATTTGATGGTTTTACGTTCGGTAAAAAGGGATCTCAAGCTCAGGTTGCCCTGAAACATTATTCTTGTTTCCAGTCCCAGGTCTGTAATCCACCTTTTCCGAAGAGCCCCAGTTTGTTTAGCAGAAAATATTACTTAGAAAGCGCAGTCTGCAGGTCAGTGTCCCCTGGCCTTTTTAAAACATTAGCTTTAGTTTGTATTTTGGCAATAAATAGGGTGGTTATCCAAAAAATAATGAAATAAGCAGAACTATATTGTGTATGTATCAACTGCACCATTAAATTCACTCTACATCTAATGAAAATAAACGATAAATATTCAGCTTGGGAAAGAGCGTGTGTTTGTTTTAGTTGGTTGATAACACAGATGCCCAAGGCTCTCATGTTTTCTATGACATAGTTGCTCCAGCTGTTGCTTATATTACACAGCTGTTCTCAGAGTTTTCCATTTTCTATAGCACAACATGGGGGCACATATTTCCAACAGTTGCATTGTTCCTGGCTCCCCAGTGAATAGACAAACATCCTGCAAATGGCATGACCCAGCATGTTGTGGACACACGGGCAGAACAGGGATCAAGGAGCCGCTGGGTTTTAGCTCTCTGTTGACTAACCATGTACTGTCAGTGACCAATGCAAACCAGCACATGCACAAAAACTCATTAAAACGAAAGGGAGAGGCTTGACTTAAATACAGTGTGTGGGAAGAGAGTGAATGTTTCTGAAAGTCATAAAAAGTGGTTTATGTTCTAGACTGAAATAGTTGAGCTACTTCTTAGACATACAAGGACACAACTGTTCTTAGTAGATTTTGATGGATAAACTTATTATAAAGAACTAAGCCAGGTTGGTGTGGTTGAGCATCAACCTATGAACCAGGAGATCATGTTTCGATTCCCGGTCAGGGCACATGCCCAGGTTGCAGGCTCAGTCCCCAGTGTGGGTGTGCAGGAGGCAGAATTGACAAAGGTGAAAGGCACTGTCAGAAGGCTCACGCCTGCTGAGGGTGGCGTGCAGAAGCTGAGGGTGGCGTGCACTGCGTGGGAGCCCTCAGGCCTGAGGGACCTGCAGGTGGGCCTCGGGCAGCTGCACCTTCTGCGGCCTGGTGTGGGCTGGGCTTGAGCCGGGCCTGGTCCTCTCATCGGCTGTGACTCCGTGACACCAAACTGTTCATGTTCTAGAAAGTACTTCTCGGAGACCTACATGGGTTGTGTTCCACTGACCTCACCCTCCCTTTACCCATCACACGTGTGCTCATCACACGTGTGCTCACTCATCTTACAGAGCAGGGACCGTGAGAGAGCACACAGGCTTCCGTTATCCATGTGTGGGCACACGGACAGGCTGCCTGAGCTCCCCTGCTCCTGCAGAGGGCTTTATACTCACAGGGGGGAGTAGGTAGATACACACATAGTTTTTCACCCCCGGGGAAATAATTTCCAGGTTAATGCACTCTTGTAATGAGGTGTGGGGTGATGTTATCCTCTGGGTAGTAATTGAAAGACAGTAGGACTTCTCTCTAGCTGGCCTAGTAGTAAAAATGCTCCAGCAGTCCGGCCATGTAATGAATCGCCTCCTTTGTATTAAATAAAATGTTGTTAAATGGGTGAACTAAAGAATAAGACTCGTTAGTTAAAAGCTCTATTATGAGCCCCCTGTGTATTCCTCTAGCTAATTTCTTTTTAAATTGTTATGTTCAAGGTGACATTTTGGTTCCTATAAAATATTGAGATTGAATCCTGGTGGGTGTGGCTCAGCTGGTTGGAGTGTTGTCTCCTGCACTGAAAGGTTGTGGGTTCAATTCCCAGACAGGGCACATGCCTAGATTTTGGGTTCAGTCCCTAGTTGGGGTGCATACAAGAGGCAGCGTGTTGATGTTTCTCACATCAATGTTTCTCTCTCTCTCTCTCTCTCTCTCTCTCTCTCTCTCTCTCTCTCTCTCTCCCTTCCTCTCTAGGAAAATACAAAAAAACGACAAAAACCTTAAAAAACATACAGAGATTGTGGTTCATAGTCATTTTTAATCAAATAAAAGTCTTATTGGAAACTTATTCAAACAGTTTAACGTTGGTATTTTTCTGGTGTCGAAGTGCTAATGGCTATTGTAATCTGGTGAGTCTGAGACCACAGTAACCAGCTGGTGAGACATCTCTGCAGCATCTGCCGGGGCACTCTGCATAGTAAGCACCGGCCGGGCCAGACAAGAGCTGCCCGGAAGACAGAGACCAGAAAGCCATGATGAAGTCATTCCGAGTCCCCGCTGAGTCGTTAGTGATGAGGTAGAGGGGATTGGACGGGAAATGACGTAGAGACCAGTGCGTACACGACTTTCAAATACCAAGAACTCTCAGTCAGCACCAATGGACAGAGAGTTCAAGCCAAAGGGAACGTGCTAAGCAAGTGCGATGTTTTTGTCTTAAAATGTAGATTAAAATGATGTGTCATTTTACACAATTAAAACTTATGTATTTCTAATACCATAAAATCAAAGACGCGTGTCCATTGCAGAGAATTCTGGGAAGAATGAAGCGTGCAAATATCCCCTTCTCCATTTTGATAAATTCCCCCTCTCACTTATGAGTTTCCCCTCTCTTCCTCCTTAACATTAGCATCACAGGAAAATTATGCAGATACATAATATCATTAAATTATGTTAAATAGATAACATTTAAAAGAAAATGGGAAACACTAGATTTGTTTTTAGTGGTTCTAAACTAGCCTCATTTCTAATCTCATCGAATCTATCATCTATTTATCTACTGATCACTGTGCTTCAATAATGATATGAGCGCTTTTAAAAATGGACCAATATAGCATGTCTAAAATAAATATGTTCATAAAGTTATACACATATTTCCATAATTATTCTAAAAAGCCCAATCTAACTATTCTTAAAAATAAGGCCGAAATCAGTTTGGCTCAGTGGATAGAGCATCGGCCTGCAGACTAAAAGGTCCTGGGTTCAATTCTGGTCAAGGGCATGTACCTTGGTTGCGGGCACATCCCTAGCAAGGGGTGTGCAGGAGGCAGCTGTTTGATGTTTCTCTCTCATCGATGTTTCTAACTCTCTATCCCTCTCTCTTCTCTCTGTAAAAAATCAATAAAAAATATATATATTTTAAAATAAGAACAAGTTTCAGGGAAATTAAGTTGTGCCAACCTCTGGATAAATATGGCACACACATCCGCGGCAGTCCACACTTCTCTGCTGAGATGCAGAAAGAACATCAGCATTGAGGTCACCCAATTGCCAGGAGATGGAGATAGAAGTTATATTTCTAAAAATAGTCTAATAACTCGTGAAAAAAGGCAACAACTTCACCTTTACAGTAGACAAAATTATATTAGTACTAGTGTCCCAGTGCACAGATTCATGCACAATGAAAGGAAGTTAATTAGAAGAAATATTTTAGTATTGCTATTTGGGTCTTGCTAATGGAAAAAAAAAAAAAAAAAAAAAAAAAAAAAAAAGGATTCTATGGAGTCTCCTATCTACCCACTCCAGGACTTGTGTGAGGATCAAATGAGATGAGGCATGGGAAATGCTTCACAGACATTTGGTTGAACTGTAAAATGTTTATTCCTGGCTATAAAGCAAGTCAGGTTCGTGGACTGAAGAAACTGCAAGGAGGCTGGTCACTAGGGAGGGGAAGCTGGGCAGTGATACATGGCGTCATTACCCGGTTGTCACCCTTTCAGGGCTGGGCTGGCCTGGGGGCCACATTTTACACCATGGGATCTCGGCAGCATCAACTGTGATTTGGTAGAATGCTGTTTTCTGGGTGGTGGCAGGGCCTGTGTCCCATCTGGGGTAAGCCAAGTGTTGGTTTGTGGGCGCCAGTCCGTGGTGCTGTTTAGTTTTAAACGGCCAGTGCGTGTCATGGCAGTTCCTGCGTTGAGCGCCTGCCCCCTGGTGGTCGGTGAGATTCATAGCTGCTGGTCAGACAGACACTGAGCCTTTTACATACGGAGATAAGAAATGGGGTGATGGTGCCCCATAGAGTGGCAGTGTGTGAGCCTTGTGGTGCTCTCTGTCTCTGCTATGAAGGCAGTGGCATTCCTCAGGCAATGGCAGACCTTCAGAGATTTTCCCTCTCTGAGCCGTAGGGGGGGGATGTGTGCCCTGAGTGGATGCAGGAAAGCCCTCAGCAGCACAAGACAAGAGGCCAGACAGCCATTCCTTCACTCTCGCCCAAGTCTTTCCGTATCCACGCTGAGTTCCCAGCCAAGGAAGTGAGCGGGCATAGGAGATCAGAGACAAAGCCTCTAGCGTTTAAGTCATTTATAACTGATCAAACATAGGAGCCGATGGTCAGATCAGCGTGCATGAAAGGGAAATCAGACAAATCATCTCGGAGCTGCAGGCTGTGGGAAGACAAGACACGCACCAGGGGCGGGCGTGCTCGGGCGCGCCATGAGCTCCGTGTCCTCTCTGCTCTGAGTGGCTCTCCGGCCGCGGGGTGCTCCACGGAGATGGCGGCCGCTCGTCTGGGGAGGAGCGTTGGCGTTAAGAAGCATCTCTCCCTCTCAAAGCTGTTCCCGGAGCTCACAGCTCATGGACGCTCTTCAGGGCCGGTGCCTCGCAGAGCTAGACGCCTCCACTGTCAGTCACCCTTCAGACAGGGGCCTCTGGACAAGGGTTTTCGAAGGGGGGTTCCTTCCGTCAGATTTAAGTCTGGGCAGAATGGACACCCAGGATGGCACGTTACGCTGGAGCCAAAAATCAGCAAAACAAGCTCCAGCAGACAGGATCTGTGCCAGGTGTTTCACACGGTCACGGAATTGGAGCTGGAAATGTCACGATGGGAGTGGGTACGATTCGGGAGCCGTTAGACATTAGACCCTCAGCAGATGGTTGCCCAAGGGCGCACGGCCAATAAAGCGGGAATATAACGCTACCCCAGTGACGTGACTGCTCCATGTGAGACATTATAGCAGGCAAACAGCAAAAAGGCTTCCGAGGAAAACCAAATTAGAGGTTCAAAAGGTATTTTTTTTTTAAACAAATTGATAATGTCCCCATGTAAAACAATAAAAGCAATCTAAGAGGCCACATTTTTTTTCCTACAGAGATAAGGTTTCTAGTAAGTGTTATTAGTCTATTTACCCAAAGGCCCAAAGCATGAGGCCCTGAGACTGGTAAGTTGTCCCATTTTTACCCAGAAGCATCCCTCCGCTCCCTGCACAGGACACGGCGGAGTGCAGGTCAGCTTTGGGGGCTCCTCCGGCCCATCTGCGTCAGGGAGACCAGCGAGGCCAACCAGTGCGGCCACACTGTGCGCGGCCCCTGGGCCCGGGCCCCGGAGCCAGTGCTGACGGAGTGCTCCCCGTGGAAAGGCCTGAGTCCTCAGTCCGTTCGTCCTCACCGAGGCTCGGGTGGTGGCGCGGATCAAACGAGGAGCAGCCCGGGGGCGTGTCAGAGGGACACAGCACATCGGCAGATATCTCCGTGACCCTCGCGTCTGAGGCGCTGTGCTCTCTCGGGGTTCCACAGAAGCCCTCGGAGTGCTCATGACCCTGATAGTCTGCGGGGCCGGGGGAGGGAGGACCGGCATCTCCATGCCAGGAGCCAGGCTTGGAGGACAGCCGGGAGAGCGGCGTTTCCCGAAGGCTTATCACTGCTGACGGCTCCTGACCTCAGGCCTGGTTCCAGAGGCAGCGATTTTATGGTTTCCTGGGAATTCTCAAAAACACAGTTCCTTTTTCTTAACCTCCTGCACCCAAGATGGTGCCGTTTTCTTACTCGTGGTCACAGGCATGTTGCAATCCATCCCAGACCCTAATCACTTTCCATTTTGTCTGCCATCCAGCCAGCAGCCAGGTTCGGCTCCGGTGGCACAGAGAGGGGACCGGACACCACACTCCCTGCTGGGTGCTCTCCAGAACAGTCTGTGGCCTCGTGTGAAGCTGACCTGGTGCTGCACCAGCGGCTCCCCTTTCAGAGCTAGAGCACAGATGTTCCTGCGTTCACTCACCATGTCTATGAAGAGCTTATCCTCTATAATAAAGAGGTGATATGCAAATTAGCCCTCACACCCTCACAAGATGGCTGCCTGCAACCAGGTTTCAGGAGAGCACAGCTTCCTTGAAGGAGCATAGTGTATAGCACCGAATACTTAATTAACTTTTCATTAGCCTCAAACCCTTTGCTTTCCCAGCAGGAGCGTTAGTGAGGGTAACCAAACAGCTGAACAAGCAGGCTGCATGGGGAGACCAGGTTGGTGGGGGGGCCTTGAGGGGCAACCAAGCTGGCAGGGGGGTCGTTCCCTTTGCCGTTCTCCCATCTGTCCTTCAACCCTGGCTCCTGGCATGGGGATGCTGGTCCCCCCTCTCCTGGCATGGGCATGCTAGTCTGGTCATGAGCAGTCCTGAGAACTTCTGTGGAACCCCGAGGAGAGCTCAGGGACCAGGCCAGCAGAGAGAGGAAATTGGGGTGACCCAGGCTGGCAGGAATGGTAGTTGGAGGTGATTAGGCTGGCAGAGGGAGCAGTGAGAGGTGACTAGGCCCGTGGGAGGGGGCAATTGGGGGTGACCAGGCCAGCAGGGGGGGCAGTAAGAGGTAACCAGGCTGGTGGTGGTGGTGGTGGGGGGGAGTTAGGGGAGACCAGGCAGGCAGGCAGGTGAGCAATTAGGAGGCAGTGGCCCAGGATTGTGAGAGGGAAATCCGACTGCCGGCTTAGGCCTGCTAAACCAGCAGTCGGACATCCCCCAAGCGGACCTGGATTGAAGAGGGTACAGGCTGGGCTGAGGGGATCCCCACCGTGAACTGGGGATCTAGTAATATATCTATATCTATATCTATCTATCTATCTATCTATCATCTATCTATCATCTATGTGGCTTACATATATTGCTATTCTTATTTTTCTTTCAAAAGAGATCCATATTGTGGAGTATTTTTATTTTGTTGTTTATGGCTCTGCATTGCCGCCCGAATTCCACTCTAGTAATGTTCCTAACTCGTTGCTGCTCTTCGATGGAGAGACTGAGGTCTCGGGAGAGCAAGCTACCGGGGAGGAGCGGGGTGCACAGCAGCGAATACTTAATTACTTTCCATTAGACTCAAGCCCTTTGCTTTCCCTTTAAGCTGTCTTCTTAGCAAAGCTTGCATCCTGCTTTTGTAGCTGTAAGTGATACAGATTTTTTAAATAAACAGACTTCCTCCCCATCTTTCATTCTCAGGCCCTGTCGTTACGAGATGCATTCTGCACTGCCCAGCTGTGCTGGCCGAGGTCAGCGCCGGGAGTCAAGCCCCAATGTGCTCTCCACACGCACAGGAACTGCACACACACACACACACACACACACACACACACACGCAAACTGACACCGCTGTTCGGTGTTCCTTACGGTCACACATTAGGGAAGGGGGGCAGTGGTGTGGTTCCCACGGAGGGTGATGGACTGCCTTCTCTCTGAGGCCAGTGGCACGGTCGCTCAGTGACGTGTGGGAGGCCAGAGATGGGAGACAAACAGGGACACGTGCTTCAGAGATGCCCCGATTATAGTTTGGCTAAGAAATCCTGTGGCAGTATTAACACATATTGTTATTAAAATGCCTTAAAAGCAAAACATCACCGATCAAGTGATCAAGTGTTAACTAAACACGGGTTCCTTACGCCCCCAAATCTTGCAGGAGCCAGGGGCATGCACCTCTTTCTGTCCATCTCTCCCTGTTTCTGATTAGGATGAGAGCATCTGAGACGGGGAGGGAATCTGACAGATGGGATGGTGAAATCGTTGCGAAATCTTACTCCAGATTTGTACAGATAAGAAAATCAGTCTGAGGTTCTTGGGGGTGTTCTCAGCCTCTCACAGATGAGCTTCGTCAGAACAGGCTGACCTCCCACCTCCTGGCCCAGCTCCTGTGATGCCCACTGTGCCCCCTTCCTTCCTCCGCCCCTCCCCTGGTCGAAGCAGAAAGCGGGGTGGCTGGTGGGCAGTGAGCCCCACACTGTGTGACCAGCTCCCCGGGCGGGAGAGGGTTAAGACCGGGACCGGCTGGACCCAGAAGGTTCTCATTAGGAGCAGGGCCTCCCTGCCAATCCGGGAGAGCACATCCCCAAACAGCTCAGCGGGGAGAGGGAGCCGGCCAGCTGGCCGACACGCTTCTTCTTGCTGCTCCCACTCCGCTCCCTGAGGAGGAGCAGGGGGAGGGAGTCCAGGGCAAGAGTGAGACCGAGGAGGACTTGCCACGTTGCTCCTCGGAAAGGGGACCTCCGTCCACGTGTCCGCAGAGCAGGAAGGACCGGAGCCCGTGCTCTGAACGCCCAGCACGGGCCTCCCCGCAAGGACAGCCGAACCAGGTCACCTCCTCCCTCCTTCCCGGGCTCACTCCTTCCTCTTCGGAAAAGGCTGTGCTTCTGCCTGGGTGACGTGGACAAGGCCAGAGGCAGGTCCCTGCATGCGGAGGCCGGGGACCCGGCTCCCAGGAGGACGTATGGAATGACGTGTCCACATGACATTGGTTTGGGCGCCAGTGGTCAGTACGTTCAATTTGGTGCGTGGCTCTGGGAGCCTTCAATGTACCAGTTTCCCGCCGGCGCTGGGCGCCGTCAGGTGGCCTTTGTCTTGCAGACGCTGACCTTGAAGTTTGGTGTAAACACTGTCCACAAGGGCCATGGCTGTTTGTGTCTCTGGCTCTTTTTAGGGTCAAAAGCGAATTCCATTGACTGGAGCCACCTGGTTCCAGGCTCCAGAATACAGTCAGACAGGGACCAGCCGCCTGTTACAGGCTCCGGAATACAGTCAGACAGGGACAGCCTCCTGGTTCCAGGCTCCGGAATATAGTCAGACAGGGACCAGCTTCCTGATTCCAGGCTCCGGAATACAGTCAGACAGGGACCAGCCTCCTGGTTCCAGGCTCCAGAATACAGTCAGACAGGGACAGCCTCCTGGTTCCAGGCTCCGGAATACAGTCAGACAGGAACCAGCTTCCTGGTTCCAGGCTCCGGAATACAGTCAGACAGGGACCAGCCTCCTGGTCAGAGGCTCCGGAATACAGTCAGACAGGGATGAGCCGCCATGAGAACGCCACTTGACAGCACTGTCCCAAAAGCAGCACATCTGTTGGAGCTGGGCCATCTTAGGAGAGAAAGGGACACGGGGGAGGGAGGGAACATCTCGAGGTTCCCTCTTGCTTTCCTCTGCCCATCTACCTCCTTTCCCTGATTCGAGAGTAGGCATTAAGAAAACAAAAGAGACAGAGAGCTTTACTGGGAGAAAGGGAAAGAGACAGGAGGGAAGATAGAAGGGTGTGCAGCCCTGGTCGGTTTGCTTATTGGTTAGAGCGTCTGGCCATGAACTGAATGAAGAGTCCCTGGTTCGATTCCAGTCAGGGCACACACCCTTGGTCAGGACACGTGCAGGAGGCGACCAATTGCTGTGTGTGTCTCCCACTCCCACTCTCTAAAAAAAAAATCAATGGAAAAAGTATTTTCGGATAAGGATTAACAAAAAGAAGAAGAGGAGGAGGAGGAGGAGTGTGGGAATGGGTAGCTGGGGGGAGAGAGGACTCTGGAGCCTAGCGTGGTGTTTAGATTTGCAGCTTTGACCTGGGGCAGGGCACTCACCGCCTTTGGATCTGGAGAAGCTGTGGCTGGCAGTGTCAGCAGTGAGGTGGGCACGGAGATCAGAGCGGGTCATTGGCATGGACTTATTTTCAATCTTTGATTCAAAGATTAAAACGTTAATGACCCTGCAGGCGTTCGTGCGTGTTAGCTGGTTAGAAGTTCAAGTTCCCTGTGTCATGTGTTTTGTACCTTCTCCCAGCCAGGCTGCTCTGCCTCTTCCAAATGACTCAATTCTGTTTTATTTTTTATTTCATTTAGTGTTTTTTTTATTTCAGAAAGGAAGGGAGAGCCATCAGTGATGAGAGAGAATCATCGACCGGCTGTCTCCTGCACACCTCACACTGGGGATCAAGCCCGAAACCCGGGCCTGCGCCCTGACCGGGAATCGAACTATGACCTCCTGGTTCATAGGTCGATGCTCAGCTGCTGAGCCCCGCCTGCCGGGCCCGAACGCCTCCATTTTGCTTCGGAGGTGGTGGTGGTGGTGTGCTTGCTACGCCCCCTCCGCGGAGGACAGGAGCCGCGTTTTGGAAATGCTGTTGGCAGCAGATTGCTCCGGGGTGGGACGTGACAGGGAGACCAGGCAGGAGGAGGCACACGTGTCAGCGAGCGGGGCGGCCCCGAGGGGGCGAGTGCAGGCAGCGTTCACAGTCCTGGGCCCTCAGAGGGGACAGGTGTCCTCTGGCTGCTGGGGGATCGCAGGTCTGCTCTGAGCCGCTGGCCTGTGGGGGTGGGGCATGGAGAGGGGGTCAGGGTGAGGCTCCGGGCTCCGGGCAGGCAGAGGGGTGGCGGTTAGAGGAGCAGGACCCCCTCGGGTCACTCAGAACCACATGCTGTTGAATTGCTTCCGGCTGCTGAGAACATGGGTTCAGAGCTTCTCCCTGTCTAGAGATCAGGTTCCTGAACAGCACACGTCAGTGGGCTGAACAGCGAACCATGGCTGCAGCGGGGAGCACGCTGGCTCCTGTCAGCTCCGCCACTGCCTACGGGGCAGGCCGGTCCCTCGGAGGGAGGCTGACACTCCCGGTCTCTCTCCTGTCCGGAGAGGACACGTGGAGCGCTGAGGGTGCCAGCTCTGCAGGCCGTGGAGCTCGAAGCAAGACCAGCAATGAGCCGCCAGGCCTGATGAGTCTCCGTGATGACAAAGGCACAGCCATCGCTGTGCTCTCTCTCCAGAGCCAGCTTCA